ATACCCTCAATCCGTACAACCATTTTACCTGAAAAGCAAAGGAAAACGGTGAATTTGACTCCAAGATCAAATCCACCCTTCCACCGTAAATCAAGTGAAAGGGCAAAGGGAGGAATGGGGGAACCCGAAACCTGGGGCCCCTCCTCGACGGAGGCTCTTCCAAGAAGAAACCTCGACGACGTCTCTACGCGGAAAGCCACCCCGACGGCGAGGCTCCTAATCGGGATGACCTCGACACACGCGGGGAGACCATGAGTAAAAATTCCCCACGATAGTCGCGCACTAGCAAGGAGCAAAGCTCCTTAAGGCGTTCATCCTAGATCTCTGAGATATTCATCGCAGGTCCACGGGGCGTTCATCGACAACTTCATGAAGATCCCAGAATAATCATGAACTTCCCGGCGTCCTCGTCGAAAACTTCATGCTTCGACCAAAAACTTCATGATGCCCGCCAGAAACTTCATGAGAGTCAACAGAAAATTCATAACACTACAGAAAGGAAGTGAAACTTACTTGTGAGAGGAGGATCTGGACAACGGAGATCGGTGATGGCAACAGAAGCAACGCGACGACAAGAAGAACTTGGAGAGGATTCCGACGGATATGAAGAGCAAATGTGCAAATCAGAAAGGCCTTCCCCTATTTATAAGCCTGGCACGGGAATCGAGGCAGCACTAGGCACTCAAGTGCCCCTACGCATAGCCGCCCCTAGGCATTAATTACACGTAACACGTGGCATTAGGGGACACCACGAGCGTCCCTCCAGCTTCCCCTCGTGCCCGGAGACCAAGCACGTCCATTTATTTTTCCACCTCCCCGACATACTGCCTCGTCGAGCATCTGTCACTCCTGGCCGCACGCACAACCCTCAACTTTGTGTGTCGGGCAAGCCACCATTCTCTGAACTGGTCCTCGACACCCTAACTCGCTCTTAAGTCACTACTCCTACACTTAGGAGCAACGACTTGGGGGCTCCTATTCTAGACTGGGTCGAGACCTGCCCTTCAGTCGGGCAAACCCAATCCAATACTACCTTGGCGAGATCCAATAAGGCTCAATCCTCCCATATCGAGCATGCCTCTCAACAAGGCCCCTCAGCGGGACAGTCCATTATTGGCGCGAGGAGAGCTCACGTGCTTTCTCCACGTTCTTCACGTGTCCCCCACGCGGGGACACGTCATCAGGAAACTACTCACTTCCGAAAGAGTTGGTCATCCAACCTTTCGAAGATCACGGGGCAGTTGATCCAGAACGAAGATCATGTGCTAATCTTTCCTACACCATGTAAGCCCTGGTAGTTACTTGTGTTGAACTTGGCAATCCGACCCAATGAAATGTAATCGTTGGCCCTGCGCTAGGGGCACATTATAAATACCATCTTTCACTAGAGGGTCAAGTATTTCATTCTCTACATCTATTCTCTTTGTACTTGTGTTTTCTAACTTCCTTACTCACTTAAACATCGGAGTACCTTGTGTGTGTGTATATATATATATATATATATATATATATATATATATATATATATATATATATATATATATATATATATATATATATATATATATATATATATATATATATATATATATATATATATATATATATATATATATATATATATATATATATATATATTTGTTGTCCTTGTAAATTATCGATTTTTTGTTGTTTGGATTAATTCGTTTGAAAATCAAATTTTTGATTACGTTTTGAATTACGATTTGTTGATATAATCATAATCACTTTGATTGTGATGATTTTAACATCAACAAATCAAATTAAATTTCCAAGCGTTATCTATTGCACTCAAGGTGTTTGATGAATTGTTTCAATTGCTTTTAAATTGAATTTTGATAATTGGAAATAAACTCTACGCGTAGCTTAACATTTAATTGTGTGTAAATTAATCGTTGTTGAACAATTTGTTCTCCTTATCATCCAATTGGTTTACGTTACGCATGTCCGAGTTTTTCGATAGTAGGTTCGGTTAAACGATTCGATTCAGGTTGTTTCCGTTGTGCCATAAAACTTTTGAAAAATCTTTTTTACCAAAAGTTAAATTTTCTAAGTTGTGATCCATTCATCCTCTCTAGATTGAAGTCTATCGTCTAACACTATGAAGCTAAGCGTTTTAAAGTCAAACACCATTGGAAAATCTTTTGACAAGTCTATCTTGAGCAAAATAGTTTTAGAATTATAGAAATAAATTTTAAAACATGTGACATTTACTTCTACTTTAAGTCGAATAAGAGTTTTACCTGTAAAGGTTGAATCACTTGACAAGTTTTAGAGGAAAATATTCACAAAAGGTAATGTCAAAATATAGATTCATTCAAGAAGAATGATCATCAAATAGATCACTACTTTTCAATAGATTTAACAATTAATCGGGGGAAGGAAAAATGCATATATTCTAAAAATCCAAAGATACATGTGGCGCAAAGGAATGTTTTTGTTCCACCATTGTTTCGAACTGAAAGAACCATAACAGAAAAGCCAGATGAATCTCTGATTGAAGAATTGCACGACCATAATATGTTAACTAAAAATAAAATAAAAAGGGAGAAAAAAACACATTTTTGTGTACACAAATATTCAAAAGCTACTGACACTACTAACATCCCAACCCAATACCCTCTATTTTAGCTAGCTCAATACATTTAATTGTATTTTTCTCAGCACAACTTGCATCCTTCAGTATAATTATTGAAAAGTCATTCCTGTGTTGTTGACGTCCTCGGAACAATGCTACTCACTTTAGATTTCGCATCCTCAGAATATTGCTACCTATTTTAAGAATCAAGTAATAGACAGAACATGTATTAGATCAATTTATAGAACATGTGGCAGAAGAAACACAACAACAACAACACTAAGTGGGGTTGGCTACATGAATCAACTTGCGCCATAATGTTTTACGTAGTTGATCCATGTCAGAGACTCCGCAAAATTTTTACTAAAGTTGATCCATTGTGTCAGAAGCAACACAATGAGTTTTATTAAAATTTTAAACATAGCAAGTGATACAAAATACACTCAATAAATATGTTTTAGGAGATAATTTATTGAAGCCAATTTACGTTTAAAATCGACATGGAGTACCTCTATCTTCATATTGGAAAGCATAGGTTGGAAATCTTCATTCATGTAAACAATCATTCTTTTTCTCTGCTCAATTCCAATCTCTAACAGGATCGTGAAGGACAGTGAAATTGCTATTGTGGTTGTAATTGTCTGCATCAGTTGCATTTTTCCTAGTAAATGAGCAGAGGTTAACAGTTTGAAGATATTCAAGGGTTCAAGTGACCCGGAAAAATAGACAATAGTCAATGTACCTTGCTATTAACACATGCGCCCTATCTTTCGCCACACAAGCCATAAGGCCTATTTCTGGCTGATGTTGCAGGCACCTTTACAAAGTTTCAAACCTACATTTAAGTGCAAGTAAATATGGTTAGTACAGTACATCAAGGGATTATGACTTAAGCAACTGAATAAACCTCAATCTAGCAGTAATCACGAATTGCTTTGAATGTATTTTAATTTTATTAACAGCCATTTTTTTATCATATCGACCACAATGGTAGCCATGCCTTTGTAACTCTAATAACTTTCTTTTCAAGCTTTGCTTTAGAGCAATGGTACCTTCATGAATAGCAGCAAACAAGTATTATGAGAGAAACTAGATAGCAGAAAGCAATATTGAAAGTGAGGGAACCCTATCAATTAGACAATGACTTAATAATATTGTCAAGAATGTAAGTTGTTCAGTAGTTACCTAAATAATCTTGAAGATATTTTCAGCCCAAGTGCTTCTGAAACTAGGTAATGCATCTGAAACTAGGATGCTACCCTTATCAAAAGTGAGGCTCAAAGTTGAGCCATAGTTTTTTCAGATTCTTCAATGTGCCGAAGGAAGACGCAGTGTAAAGAGTCGAGTGGCTCAAAGTTGTTCAGTGCAGAAGAATGGAAACAGTTGTGAGTAACTGTCATGTTTGGTTTTGAAATCATAATCAATTTGATATCATATGGACAATAATGAATCCTCCTTTGTAAAAACAAATTTTATACAAAACATATAACTATGACAAATCCAGTGCATCTTCAAAATTATGATGAGTTTGAGCGACACACCCTTAAGCCAAACAAGCAAAGAAGAACAACTAAGCCCAAAATATCATGCATGACAGAACCAAAGAGAATATTATCACTTACCCTTAAACATCCTCATCCAAACAAAGCTTTGTAGCCAAAATGGTTTTTTCCAATCCTCCCAAACCAATCAACACAGCGGTGGAACTACCATCCCTTTTCAACACTCTAATAATATCCATTTCAGCTTCTGCCCTTTTGATATACTTCAAATTAGAAACTGAAGATAGTTTTTGAAACTTCACAAAATGAGTTTTTTTTCAACTCATAAGGAACTTCACCTCTCAAATTTTTCCGTACTAACTAGTCCTTCTTCAGTTAATGTAACTGTGTCACCAACTATCACATTATTTCTTTTCTTCTTCCTCAAAAGAAGATCAAAAACAAGTTTAACATCTTTACAAGATTGTAAAGGAGAAAACAGAACTGAACCATAACAACTCGTAAACATAAACATCTACCGTTATTGAGCATTTGTTCACAACTATAAAACTGGATGATTGCAACAACAGAAGCATAGTTCTAAATATTCACAAATAAACATCTGTGGTGGAACACATATTGACACAAATAATAAGGAAAAGATAGACAAAAGGACAGGTTTGCACACAAAGACAGAGCACATATATGTTTTATGCAGAACCTATACTAACAAACAAAACTCCAAGACACATGTATCATAGGTAATAACAACCGAACAAAAACTTACCTCCGAGGGCTTGAAGGAATGTGTGGTAATCCTAGGAAATCAAACATAAACATGGAAAATCGTCAAACCAAAACGTGGAAAATAACAAAAGAAAGGAAACATTTTTATAAATCAAGAACACATGAATATATGAAAATTAAACATTGGCGCGACAGAGTGGACAAGTTTTCTTAATGTTGATCCATTTTTGAATGCAGTCAATATGAAATACATGAGAGCAGCGCAACCGAGTTGGGGTGGAAGAACCATTAGACAAGTCAACAAGACAAATGCAACAGACGGATTCTGCATCTGTTGTGGATTTTGTAACATGTTGAGAAGTATCTTGAACGCCCATCACCACAGGAGAAGCTCTAGCATTTTGCACGGGTGGAGAAGCTCTAGAACCATTGTGGTGGTGGTGGTGGTGGGGATGAATCCTTGATCTTCTTGGAAAGTTGTTTCCCCTAGGAGAATCATAGACAACAGTTTCATCTACCACAGACACCGTTTGTGAAGTTAATCTTGATGAAACATTGTGGTTGTGAGACATTAATCTTGTTGGAACATTGTTGTGGTTGTGAGACATTAATGTTGTTGGAACACTGTTGTGGTTGTGAGAATGAAAGAGAAGAGCTTGATCTATGACAGACCAAGGTGGTGTTCTTGTAGGGTGGTTTTGAGAGATGTTGCCGGTACGAGAATCAAAGAGAACATAGACAGGTAACATGTTGTTGTGGCGGTGATGTTGTTGACCTAAATCAACCATAGCAACATCATCTACAATTGAAAGTGGTATCAACATTCTTGTAACAGCAAACAACACAAACTCACAGAATTGATCGTAAAGAGAGAGAGAGAGAGAGAGAGAGAGAGAGAGAGAGAGAGAGAGAGAGAGTTAAGAGATGATATAAGGATAGCGGGAATGGTTATTTATAGAAGCTATTGTTGACAAACTTTTCTTTTGCGACCGTTATGTGGGACGAAACAAACCCTCGATTCAAGAATGTTTTTAAGGATTTGTCATTAATGAACAAGATTTTTAAGATTTTGTCATTAATGAACCAAATAAGGATGTCTTGGATACACAAGATTTCAATCTCAACTTGGGCCTCATCTTCAGCTATTGGCCCAAATAAAAAAAAATAATAGGACAATTATATCTAGCACACCAAAAATTAAACATGACACGTATACATTTTATACAATACTTATTTTTCCCTTAAAGTAAAAAAAGAAATTGTTTTTTTTTTTATACTTTTATATCAAAATAAATTTTATTTTTTGATAAAATATATGATTTTATATCAAATTTTCTAATATCCAATATAAAATCATAAATTTAAGAAATTATTTTAGTTTAATACTGAATTTTTTTTAAAAATCAGTATAAAATATAGGGTGTGTCGGATTTTAGTATAAAATGTAGGGTGTGTTGGATTTTTGAAAAATTCAGTAGGTCAAGTTTGAGCAATTATTTTTAAAAAACACAAAGTTAATACCACCTAATTTGTTGATAAATTTGGTGATATATAGGGTGTCTGAATTTTTGATAAAATAAGAATAAAATCATAATGTTTTTTTTAAATTAATGGTTAAATTATAAGTTTTAAAAGTACAATATAAAAAGTATGATATTACATCGATGTGTTCAACAATCTGATATAAAATAATATATTTTGAAAAAAAATAATAGTCGTTGTGAAATCAGAGATTTTGGAAGTAATTTTTTATTTTTACTTATAAAAAACTAGATAGTTACTTATTACTATCTTTTTTATTTTTGGAATACTCCTTACTGGGTGATGTGTGTCCTATAAAATCCTTCATCAAACATTGCATTAAGTTTATCCAGTTTATCCTTACCGTTATTAAAAAATAAAGCATTTGTTGTAGAAAAAACAAGTAGAAAATCATCTCCCATGATTTGAATATCAACTATTTTTAGGAGTTGAATCATGTGATTCAAACCAACTATATTTTTGACTCGAATCAGGATCACATAACCAAAATCCAAAATTTGTTGTATAAATTTGATTCGAGTTAGACATGTTTGTGATTAGAATCAAACCTCTTTTATTTGAGTCATGCATTACTATGATTTGAATCAAACTCATAGAGGCAAAGTCCTGATTTTTTAGAGACGCGTTTGATTACAGTCAGGCAGTTTCGTGATTCGAATCAGACTCATAGAAGAAATTTTGTATTTTTCGACACAGTTTGACTTGAGTAATGAGGTTCTGTGATTCAAATCACTCTTTAATATTTTCAAACTTTCATCAAAATGAAGTGATATTCTGAATTGGGACTTGACCTGACTTAAATCATTCTCAAACATGCTTTTTGATTCAAACCTTCGACTATTTGACTAGAAACATATTGCAAAGACTTTAATAAATTAGTTAGATATATGCATACGTAAAAAAAGAATTTAAACATCATAAAATGCGCAATTATGTGAGGAGACTCAATTACGTTACATAAACAAAAAAATAAATTGAAGAAACCACAAAACATAAATCTGTAAACCCTAGGAAGTAAAGGCAACTTCACAATCCTCCTTTTGAAGAACCTTAGTGATCTGACCTGATCAGAAGGGGATCACGGACTGGCCACTCGCTGTTGGACTGCTATCTGTTCGCCGATGATGAGGAGGAGGAGAGGGGTGTACCTGCAAAACACTCTGATGCCAAAGTAAGAAATTGGGCAGAGCGAGAGCAAAGTACAGAAAGGGCAAGATGTGAATTACCTGACCCTCTTGAGGAAGAGGGTATTTATAGAGAGACCCCAGCGCTGAGCCAACGGTCATTTGAGGTGGGCTGGATGACCAGGCCCAATCCTAATGACTGCTAGGGCTTATGTGGCGTAGTGAAGACCAGAACGTGGTCTTCGCCCTAGTCCAACTGTCCCGTGATCTCCGGAAAGTGGGTTTGACCTGTTCTTTCGGAGGTGGGCAGTTGGGAGATGACGTGTCCCCGTAGAGGGGGGCACGTGGAGAATGTGCGTCGGGCACGTTGTCCTCCCCGTAGAGGAGAGCTCGCGAGGTTCTCTGGAGGGCGTTGTTCTCCCCGCGGAGGGGAGCACGCAAGGACGCGGAAGAGCCATGTGGTCTTGCTCGATGGACCGGGGGTGCCCTGTTCGGCCGACAAAGGGGGCGTTGAAGACGCTACGGGACGTGTCGTCCATCCCGGCGAGGAGCGTGCCCTACCCGTCCTATGGGGGTGTGTGCCCGGTCAGGCTAGTCCACTTAATGGGCCTTGTGCGTTATTGGGCTGGACCGCGAGGGTGGGCCCAAACCAGAACAGGAGCCCCCCAAGTCGAAGCTCTGTGGCGAAAGAGCGAGGACTTAAGGTCGTTGCTTCGGGGAGAGAGGTAGCGAAGCGGGAGGTTCGTCGGGTTTGTGCCCGGTGGAACGCGTGCCTGCGCGAGGGTCTCCTCGTCGTCGGTAGAGCGGGGCAAAGGCATGTGAAAGGACGCGACTGTCAGGTTGCCGCCACGTGTCGCACGTTAAGTGGTAGTAGGGGCGGCTACCCTAGGTTATTTAAGAGCCTAGTGTCGCTTCGAGTCCTGCGTCGGGTTATAAATATGGGGGTCCCCACTCACTTTTCTACTTTCCACCTTGCTGTCTTACCTGCGAAACTCTGAGATTCCTGCTCGTCCACCGTCGCTGTAGATCGTCGCTGCGCCGTTTAGTTCTTCCTCCCGTTCGCCGTCGTCACAAGTGAGTTTCTCTCTTTTCTCCTTTTATTTCTGCCGTTTAATTAGGGTCTGTGCTCGGGGCGTGATGAATGCCCTGAGGAGAGACGCGAGTTTCGCCGTATCTGGCGGTTTTCTAGGTCAGTTCCGATGAATGCCCCGGGGAGGATTGGTTGCTCCGGTGAATGTCCCGAGGACGGGGGCTTTCTCCGATGAATGCCCCGGGGACGCGCGCCTTTTCCGATAAATATCCCAAGGAGGGATGATAGGTTGGCCTTTGAATGCCCCGTGGAGGAGCGGCGGGGAGCGCCTACTCGCTCGTCGTTCTCCCGCCTTTGTCGCCTTTTCACTTGACCTGCGGTGGAAGGGTGGATTTGATCTTGGCTATCGAATTCACCATTGTCCTCTGCTTTTCAGGTGTAGATGTCGGCCTTGGTACCGGGGACGATGGTCGAAGATAATGAACCCGAGGTCCCGTATTTCGACGAGCGCGTCCTCCCCGTCGAGGAGTGGGTGGCTGAAGAGCCGTTGTCCACCCCATCTTGCTTCGTGGCCAACGCGTCCGATGTCTACGCTACCGTCGAGGATACGCCTTAAGGGGAGCCGCAACACTGGCAGGTGTATCGCCCGAAGGAGCACCATCGCATCTGCTCGCGATATGGGAGGCGGATGTTTCCCATGCACGAGTTCTACTTCAAAGAGGCTCGGCTCAGATTGTCGTTCTCCGCTTTCCATCTCGGCCTCTTCGATTGGTTACGTTTAGCCCCGTCCCAACTGCACCCTAACGCTCTGGCCTTTATCCGCGCTTTCGAGGTGGTGTGCTTTTATCTCGAGGTGGAGGCCACGGTGCCCTTGTTTTTTTGCATCTTCCACCTGCAACGCCAGTCGGTGAACGGCCGTCAGGGATGGATTTCGTTTAAGCAGCCGACCAAGCTCTTCAAGACGTATAGCGATTCTGTTCGAGACTTCAAGGGTCGGTTCTTCCTCGTGAAACCGATCACTCAGGAAGGCTCGGATACTCTTTTCACCGAGGGGGAGCGAATGGTAGACGGCCAGAGGTTCCTTGCGTGGCTCTCCAAGATACATTTATTGTGGACCTCGGAACACTTCAACCGCGGTACTGACCGGTACATCGTGCGGGCAGGGACTCTCGACGAGAAGGATATGGTCGTGTATATGAAAATAGTTGCCTTTGTGCGGGATCTTCCCCCGTCGAAACTGGTGACGCCCGATGGTCGGTACATCCTCGATGCGCAGGGGAACGTGCGGACGAAGAAGAGGCTGATTAACACTAAGACCCTGCTCGGTTGCGCCACGGGGGCGGATGCTCTGGAATATCTAGGTAGGGATGTTTCTTTTTCCCTGTGATCGTATGTTTTGACCGTTGCTAACTCTCTGTTTGTTTTTGTAACAGCCCAATTTTCAATAATTAATTATTTGTGTTAATTAATTGATTTATTTGAATTATTCTAATTATTTGAATAATTAGATGATTGTTTAAATGGATTTATAGATGTTTGAGAGAGGAAATATATTGGATAGAAATACAGGGAAAGATATATATATATATATATATATATATATATATATATATATATATATATATATATATATATATATATATATATATATATATATATATATATATATATATATATATATATATATATATATATATATATATATATATATATATATATATATATATATATATATATATATATATATATATATATATATATATATATATATATATATATATATATATATATATATATATATATATATATATATATATATATATATATATATATATATATATATATATATATATATATATATGAGGAAATGGAAAAGAAAAGAAGGAGGGAAGAGAAAAGAAAGGGAAAGAAAGAGAAAGAAGAGAAAAGGAGGAGAAAAAGAGGAAACTTGGAGAATCATCAAGAACATCCTCTAGCTTCCGATTAATCGAGGTAAGGATGTGAAATCTTACTATCTTAATCATTGTGTATGTGTGTTGATTGATTGGGTGTTTTTTTGGATATTTTCCATTTTAGGTCGAAATGAGTTTAATCGGTAGAAACTAAGTTTTATCGGTTAGAATTTGGA